CTATACTCCCGTGCTTCTCTATCTTCTCTATCCTAGAAAACTTTTGTATACAATTATTCTAAATTCGATAATTACGTCTAAATATTAAAAAGAGAACCTTTAATCAGCGATTTCTGCGTTAAATATCTGATTTTAATAAAGCAGATACCATCCGACACCAGTACACATGCAAAATAATGGATATTCATTCAACTCCAGAGAATCACTTATTAAAGTTTATCTTTCTTTTACAAACTTCGTACAACAATCTCGTAATATTTATAATTAAAATATCCCATTTTCAACAGGATCCGCATCTTCGAGGCAAACGTCTCTCTACGCACAAACGAGACTATCATTCAAAGGTTTCTAATAGTTTGCTTGATGGACGAAAGCGTTTCTCGCTATAACTTCTCTACGCGACCCGATCATCTATTTATTACGTAATCCTTACGAATAAACTAATCTCAATTACCCTAACTATGAATTTTGTTCTGGGTAACATTTCAATAATCACTAAGGCTACATCTTTTAAATTATTTCCAAATCATTTACTCCAATATATTTCGGAGCGGAAGTCATCACTTAGAAATAATTTGTTTATTGAAGGGATCTAAACATGCTACTCTATTCAATGTGAAAAACATGTGCGAAACAAGTAAGGAATGAAGATAGTCTCGTCTAATCTTATTGTTTCAAACCTGCTCGTCTCTCTCACGTATCTCTTTCCTCGAAAATATATCATTCTATACGTGATAAAAAACTGTTTCGTTCAAAGGATCATTGAACAAACAAAGTATTTGCTCCGGTTACCTTTGAAAAACAAACATTACACCGTCGGTTTATTCACGGTGGATATAGCGATCATCGTGGGTGATCTAAGCTCGGGGCGCATGCTGATCTTCATAAATTTCGATTGGGCGTATTTCTTCCTCACTGCCTGATATTTACTCTTTTCAGCGTTAAGTATCATAGTCGCTGTTTCCCGCACCACGGGTAACACGTCGTCCTTGGAGTAGCTACTATAATGAACCAAGGTATTCGTCCAGACTAACTTCTGCTTGTCCTCGTCATCGTTACCAATAATTCTGAGTAATAAAATCAAGCAAGTAACAATGAATTCTCAACTCGGTGATCAATTGATTAACGGGCCAACTTACAGAAAAGCTAAATATATCGCTGCTGCTGCGAGAAGGCTCGGTGGATAATGACACATTTCGTAATGTACTAAACTCTGTTCTAGAAAATATTTGGCCATTGTATGATGCACCTGAACAGCCTTGTCGTGAAAAAATAGGATTAGTAAATGAACGAGGTAGAAGAATTTGTCGGGTAGAGGAACGCGAGGGAACTGCATACCTTTCCAGCTTTGCTGTACCTTCTCAGAAAATGTAAGGGTAACGGCCTACCGAAACAACAGTCTAACGTTTGTACGATAACGATTTCCATCTGCAGTATTTCTACCTTCGAGTACGCGTTATCGGTGATATATACAAAATCTTTTATGTCCGGGGCGTACATCTCCTCGTATTTGCTAGCGATGAACATAGCTGTCACACCGACTAACTGCAACCTCTTCCTATCTATCGTGCGAAAACTCTGTTGAAACAGTATAATCGTGATTACGAACGAGACCCAAGATAGAAAGAACGAAATTGTAGCATTTCAAAGAGGCGAACCTGTAAAAATCGGTCAATGATAGCAACGGTCAGATACAATGTCTCCTGCAACAAGTGGAATTGTTGGTGTACTTCTACTAGCCAATCTATAAGTACACTCCGCATTTTTGGTGTAACTTCTTGTCCGCTAAGATATCCTTTGTTAACGGGGTACATGCTCTCCACCTTTCTCAAATATTCGTAGATTTCATTGCTATACATAGAAACTAAACAAGGATTCTCTTTATCGTCCTCGTCGATATCTTCAATCGCCAGCAGATCCGACGAGAACGATTCTATTTCCTTCTTGGGAAGCTGCAGCACTGCATGGTTTACGCTAGGAGCTGCAGCCTTCAATAAAGGTTTAACCACTTGTACAGGTACTTTTTCAGTCGGTTTCTCTTGCGGTTTGACTGCTTGTTTTGGCACCACAATTTTTTTCGGGTCCTTCTGTAGCAAGCTAGTCCTATCAACAGGCTCTATGCCTCTTAATGTGTTTACTTTGTTTCCTATTTCACCCAAAGCAGCCCTTTTCGTCTTCCCAGCTAATGTGGTAGTGGAAGACTTGGCATTCTTCACATTTTCTTGATTTACCATAGTCTGAAAATTTATTTCATCCCGTGTTTCCAGTTGCATTCCACAAACTTTATTAAATAGGGACAAGATACAATGAGGATGTTCACAAAATAATGTGTTTAATAATAATTACAATGAATGGATTAACATGGGAAGTATGGGAAGGCATCCTCGAATAAATATTTTATAATCAATAGTCAGGATCGAGAGAACGGGTAAACAGTGTAAAGTGTATTGCGGAAATTATTCAAGAGCACCTGTTACAAGGACGGTTAGTCCGCTTAAAAATTCCGTTAAGAATATTTGTAACCACGGTTCGTGATAATATAATTAGATAAGTAACTAAGCTTTAAATAATTATCGGGTATTCGACCTTTAAACGATGCAAAAAAAGATATATATTTTATG